GCCTTATCGAGGAAGTGCTCTTCGTGGTCAGGTGCCAACGTCCGAAGGCGCAAGGGAATTAAGAGTTTGTCACTAACTGCTCTGGAGATAACCGGGCAGTTCTATCAATAAATGGTTCTTGAAGGAAATTCAATATGCAAATGTGAGGAAATTCTAACTGGCTCAGAAGCTTAAACACTTTTCAGTGCAATATGTGTATCGTATAGATGGTGGCACACTAATAAGTGTGATCAGGGATCCGATTCCAATAGGTAGTGTAAAGAGTATTTCCCAGTGAGGAAAGAGGTTTTCTGATCCTCTTTCGAGGCGTGAGGTGCACGCAATATGTCGGACAGAACGTGTTCGACACCAGCACTGGATGTGTTTCCTGTGGCCCAGTTGTCACCACAGGAAGGTCAGAATGTTTAGCTGTTAGTCTCCTCTGTCCCCTAGAAGACATACTTATTAACGGCGGTGAAATGGGCTGACAAGAGACATCATCTGAATCGCTAATACAGCCTACCTCAGCCTTCCAGGAATCTTACTAGCGTCTATAAGATGATGCCCCAGAAACCATATACAAAGTGAACATAACTCCCCACCCACTAGAAACATGCTAGCATATAATACCAAAATCCTGGAATGTACCACTGACCAAAGAAGATTGTAAATCCTGGAAGCTATACTTATAAGATAAAAAAAGACCCACTTTAAATACACAGAATAACGACTTTGTTTCCTTGCCGACATTCAGACCCAGATCCCACCCAACATCACCAGATAATGATGTCTCTACCGAGGTTTTCCAGCCCATCAGAGTTTTACTCAGTTGATTGATAAAGATTAAGCCACCCAAGAGGTGGCACGGGCATGAATAGCCCGTAATTTTTTTTTTCTCAGTTGCTTTATTCTATGTTTTATTGCCCCATCACCTCACCCTTTCGCCTCTACTCTTTCAACTCTTTCACATGTGTCTTTAACCAAAAATTGTACACCATATATATTCTTATAGGTTATTCATGCCCGTGCCACCTCTTGGGTGGCTTAATCTTCATCAATCAATGAATCATATATTCATTCTTTACATGAAGATGTTCCAGAGAGGAACATGTCTGGAACAAATTGAAGGATTAATTTTCTTTCGTAAATCCTTAAAGGTAATTCTAACTGGATTAAACTGAAGGATACATTTTCCATAACGAAACGTTGTAGAAAATCCTTCAATAAGGATTTTTTTTTACAAAAGATACACCTTCCTTCCCCCTGAAATCTCACTCCCTATCCCCCCTGACTAGCTTCGCTCCCTCTCCCTGACTATCCTCGCTCCCTCCCCTGCCACCCCAGCAGGGTACACCAAGCCACTAAGAGCCTGGGGGGGGGGGGGGACGATGGTGGTATTACTGGTGGCCCGGTATAATGAGGACCTTATATCCACCGGTACTCCAATATCTCATTTTTACCTTAAACTATTTTATTTTATTTTAGAATTTATTTTCACTGCCCGCGTTCCCCGTTCGGTGTTTACTGTGCCGGTGTGGTGTTTGTGTAGCCTAAAGCCGCCTCCAGCTCCCACAAACACATTCTATCTCCCCACTTATACACCCTCCCCATCTCCCCACACATACACTCTCCCCATCTCCCCGCTACGTATCCTCCCATCTCCCTTTAAAGAGCCTCCTTATTTTCTAATATATACATCCTCCCTGCCTTCCCGTCCCCACATAGACACCCTTCCTGTTTCCACTCATATACACCATTCACATTTCAACCTACACCGAACAAACCCTCCCCCATTATCCCCTATTCACACCTTACCTGTCCTCCCTACACACACACATCCTTCTATCTTCTCCCATTAGTTTTCATTACACACACACACATTCTCTATTAGTGTAACCTAAGGGTCACACTAGCCTAGGACACAAATCTGTCATCTGAACATGCATTTCGCATGTCAATATTTAATCATATTCAATTATCTACGAACTAGGGGGGGAATCATTTCACATCCACCGACTTAATAAAGGGGGGGTGCACATACACCACTTCGGTAAGGAGGTGCATATGAACCGATCACCCTTCAAGGAACATGTGGGCTGACCTTCCTATGACACTCCCCATCCAATCACTTGTAATCCTGCAAAGTATGGGCTAACTAAGTCGTATCGAACATGACTGCACATGACACCAACAGCATGTCACTGTATAAACTGATTACCTTGATTGCTTTCTCTGTTCGAGTAAAATATTATCTATTATTCTCTCTATTAATATATATCTATTATATAAAATATCTATTATTATCAATCTATTATTCTCTCTGTTTGCAATAATCCCTCATTGAAATGAATATTGTTGTTGTATTCTATTTGTCGAAGCAACACAACATTATTATTTTGACTATATCCGAGTCAATACCGTCATTACGCTCTCTAAACTGGACACAGCACTTATGTCAAATGGACACAGCAAATTGCACAAATGAAGCCAAAGTTTATAAATATATAATTTTTACTGCAAATATTTCATGATATACAGAAGAAGGCTCCGTTGTTTGATTGGATGGAACTGGTCCTAACTAATTCGTGATTGGTGATTAATATATATATATATAAGCTTAATATTGAGGTTTTTTATAGTGTATGCAATGCGCATCAACTCCTTGAGATGTTGTGATTGAATATGTTTCTTTAAGAGCGTGTATCTTATAGCTATGTAATATCTATGTATTTCAATGTGAAGTGGTCTGTGCCAGTGACTCCACCCTGGCGACCTGAAGGCAGCAACCAACACAGAAAGTGAAGGACCTTGTGAGAGTACTGTCATGGCCTCGCTATATAGATAGTACATTTTGGTACTATTCACTTTATAGAGCCTGAAAAATTATAAACTATAGTCCAAACTCAAATATATCTAGGCCTAGTATAGGACATATATGTACTATATTAGGCCTCAGATAACGTGTATTGGGCCACGGAAGGTTAGGTTTCGTTAGGTTTTCTTTGCAACATCAGAATAAAAACTTTTCCGGGTTCTCCAAATTCAGTAAAACCGATTTCTACTTTCTAATTGCCTTTGACGTCAGTGTATGCTCCATGGTCCTCATCATTACTATCAGAACTACCTAAAAAGGAAGATGAACTGGAAGAGCATGAAATATACAAAGTATTTCACTGAATAATACCGGGTCTCTGAAAACAGTTACAGCCAACAAGAAATAACAAAAAATAATATAACTGAATCATAAAATAAAATAATTGTAAATATAATCACTAACATTTCAAAATTAGCAACAATTATCACTTCAAAGATAAAGTAACTTTGAATTTGACATTGTCTCTGCGATAACAGCTACATCAATTAATACAATAACAATTATTGACATTGATGAGAACAATATAATAACATCATAACAAAAAAACTGAATAACATTTTATAATGAGAAACAATAAGCCCTTCAATGCACATATGTAAATTACCAATAAATGTTACATCTCCATCACCAATTATATTTTAAATCATTTAATTACGTCGGAACAATAAAACAAAATACCACAGCTTCACTCAATTAAAAAACCATCTACCTCACAATGCATAAATCAGCAAGTTTATAAATCTACCGGCCCACATTCAGGCTTTTTTTTTATCTACTGTCCCACTCAGGCTTATTTTTTGTCTACCATCTTGCACTCAGACTTTTCTATCTACCGTCCCACACTCTCTGAAAATATTTAAGCTTTAGTGCTTGGCACAAAAGCTGGTCATTGACTTTTTTGACTGAAAAATCATGGGAATATATCATAATTTCTGGTGTAAATTGAATGTAACAAAAAGTATTAGTAAGATTCGCCTTTCATTTATTGAAAAGGTTTTTCCAGTTGATTTTGAAGGGAGGAAGAACATATGGTTTTTAGCATGTAAATGCTATTACATATTTGCTTGGTGTTCGAGTTGAAACATCCGTCCCGTCCGCAGGTAAATACAGTGGTTAGTTTTTGGCTGTATCAGCTTTGACGGGGCTACAGTGATTAGAATTGAGCCGCGCGTTTATGTTCTAAGGCCTCCGTCCTCGTGAGTCGTTCGGGCGAGGACGCTAGTATGAGGAGCGCTATGTCATGGATTCGTATCCTGGCCGGGGAGGATTTACTGGGCGCAATTCCTTAACTGTAGCCTCTGTTTAACGCAACAGTAAAATGTGTACTTGGATGAAAAAACGATTCTTCGCGGCAGGGGATCGTATTCCAGGGACCATAGGATTAAGGACTTGCCCGAAACGCTACGCGTACTAGTGGCTGTACAAGAATGTAACAACTCTTGTATATATCTCAAAAAAAAAGTAGTGACGTCGAGGTCGTTCTAACGAGGGCACAAGTCGTCACCTCAAGGGTTATATCTATCTCATGTCCTTCCAGATATTTTAATCCTTGATGCTGTATTCACAACTCTTGGTACAAAACGTTACAATTCTGGCTGTAATGAGCAGGTGCAGAGCTCTTTGCTAGCTATTCTAAGTATTGTACTTTAACGCTATGTTTTGTAATGTTAAATGAATTATTATGCAGTTTAACTTGTATATACACCTTTAAACATTCAACCCCTCCCCACCGCTGTACATCCTACACTCCCCCATCTTCCCTTTGTACACCTTACACTCTCTCCCCTTCTGTACAGCCCAACCCCTTCCCTCTCTATGTAGACCCCATGTTCCCTCCTCCCCTCTCTCCCTTACTACCTGTACACCCCATACTCTTCCACCACATACGACAGAGGGAGGGGCCCTCTCTCTGTACACTCTACACTCCATCCTACACTCTCTCTCCCTCTGTATACGCCTCTTTCTCTCCCATAGCCATTGACCCCTCGCTCATCTATAATAATAAAATAAATGTTTATTCAGGTAAGGTACATACATACAAGAGATTTTTACAAAAATTGATAGGTTTATAGATAGAGCTAGTACATACAATGCCTAAAGCCACTATTACGCAAAGCGTTTCAATCTCTTACTTCGTTGTGCACAGGGACCGCCAGCATCCGAATCTTGAAGATGCAAGTACCGAGGAGGGTACAAGCGGGGAAGACGGTGGAACTAGCCTGTCACTTCGACCTGGAGGGGGAGATGCTGTATTCTCTCAACTGGTGGAGGGGGTCGGAGCAGTTCTACCAGTTCAGCCCTTCCAGTCAGGAAAAGATTATCGTGTACGACTCCAAGGGCATCACCGTGGACGTAAGTGTTTACCTCTCAGTGTCTAGGGAGGAGTGAGATCTAGCTCCTTAGTATGATTGTCCATTCTGCGTTAAAATGTAACTATTCTGGTGTTCATATTCTTAGTCAGACTGGCCCTAATGTTTTAGATGGAAGTGGCTTCCACAACTTATTCTCTCTGTGGATTCCACTTGAGTGCTAAGGCTTTTGTGGGGTTTTCTAATGTTGTTTGTATAGTTGAGGAAGGGTTTAGTGCGTTGTTTAGCTTAGGTGGGTTGGCTAGGATGGGTTGGGTTGGCTAGGATGGGTTGGGTTGGCTAGGATGGGTTGGGTTGGCTAGGATGGGTTGGGTTGGCTGATAATGTTACTGTGTGTGATACTGTGCGCCGTCAAATTCAGATTTCCATCATTCTTCATGTCATGCTAATTTGTTTGTCTCCTCCCGAATAATTTACTTTACCTCTTCCTAATACATTGTCATTTAAAGAAGTTATATTATCGCGGGTCGTGTTTTTCTTCTCTCCTTTGAAATCTTATTCTTTCTCTTCCCCTTCGTAATTCATCTCCCCCTTCTTTTAATCCCTTTCTAGTCCCCTACTTTCTCATGTTTTCGCAATCTCAACCACATATCTTCATACCTCCCGTTCTTACACTTCCTACATTTCTCTCCTTCTCTTCCTTCTCTCCTTACATTTATCGCTTTCATAGCCTTCTCTCCCATTCTTATCCGCCTCAACCTTCATTTCTTTTCATATCCTTCTCACATTCCTTGTGCCTCTTCTACGCTTCGTTGTACGACTCGGTATTAATTCCCGCGGCAGGTTGGGCGAGGGAGGCGAGGCGTCCCTGCCTGAGGGGCTCCATTAACAGCAGGTCACTTCGACAACATATTTTTCCTCCGGACCACTGATGACATCCTAATATATTTTTCATCTTAGGCGTCAGCGCCCTTCTCCTCTCCTCCACCTCCTCCTCGTCTATGTTATCAGCTGGTCTCTTTTTTTTACTATCTATGCCTTCTCTCTCTCTCTCTCTCTCTCTCTCTCTCTCTCTCTCTCTCTCTCTCTCTCTCTCTCTCTCTCTCTCTCTCTCTTACATACCGGCACCTTTTCTATGCAAAAACTCACCCAATTTCGACTGTGAGAAACATTGGCTCGTCCCCTCCTTAGTGGCGTCCTGCCCCTCTCTACTTTCCCCTCCTCATATTGTTGTGTTCTCCCCTCACTTCATAACCAAGCTATCTTTGACCCGTCTCATCTACCCTTTCCAGGCCTATTCCATTCCTTTTCCTCTTTCCTGTGGTGCTTTTTCACTTTTTGGGTCCCCTCATTTTTTTCCCTTCTTTTATTTTATGAATCTTTGCTTCCCTTCTCGTTTTTTTGTTTCTTCGTGCCCAACCTCTTGGGCTGGACGGTAGAGCGATGGTTTCGCTTCATGCGGGTCGGCGTTCAATCCCAGACCATCCTAGTGCTTGGGCACCATTCCTTTCCTTCCGTCCCATCCCAAATCTTTATCCTGACCCCTTCCAAGGGCTACAGTGTCGTAATGGTTTGGCGCTTTCTCCCCATAGTTCTTTCCTCTCATAGTGTGGGACAGGGAAAGCATAGTGTGTGACTGGGAAAGCATAGTGTGTGACAGGGAAAGCATAGTGTGGAATATGGAAAGCATAGTGAGGGACAGCGTCGGCCACACTACTTAGAGGGGTTGGAGTTCGATTCCCCGATGATCCAATTGGTGAGGATCGCTCCTTACATTCCGTCATCGCATTTCCAGCCCATGTTCTTATGTCCTAGCTCTTTCTCCTCATATTCTAGCTCTTTTTCCTTATATCCTAGCCCTTTCTCCTCATATCCTAGCTCTTTCTCCTCATATCCTAGCTCTTTTTCCTTATATCCTAGCCCTTTCTCCTCACATCCTAGCTCTTTTTCCTTATATCCTAGCCCTTTCTCCTCATATCCTAGCTCTTTCTCCACATATACTAGCTCTTTCTCCACATATCTTAGCTCTTTCTCCACATAGCCTAGCTCTTTTTCCTCATATCCTAGCTCTTTCTCCTCATATCCTTGCTCTTTCTACTCATATCCTAGCTCTTTCTCCTCATATCCTAGCTCTTTCTCCTCATATCCTAGATCTTTCTCCTCATATCCTAGCTCTTTTTCCTCATATCCTAGCTCTTTCTCCTCATATCCTTGCTCTTTCTCCTCATATCCTAGCTCTTTCTCCTCATATCCTAGCTCTTTCTCCTCATATCCTAGCTCTTTCTCCTCATATCCTAGCTCTATCTCCTCATATCCTAGCTCTTTCTCCTCATATCCTAGCTCTATCTCCTCATATCCTAGCTCTTTCTCCTCATAATTACCATTCTATCTTATTCCCCCTTTAACGACCTCCTCTCCTTCTCTTCTTTCCCCTCTTTTCCTTCTCCGTCTCTCCACATCTGCTCTTCTTCCCCTCTTCGTCTAACTCTAATTTCTGTGTAATTATCTAGGGCAGATTGAGAACAAAATGGCCGCTAAGAGGAGAGAATTCTGCGCTTTTCTCTGTGTAATGTTTATTTGTGATTGTGGTGTGGTGGGTGTATGACAGGTGTGTGGTGGGTGTATGACAGGTGTGTGGTGGGTGTATGACAGGTGTGTGGTGGGTGTATGACAGGTGTGTGGTGGGTGTATGACAGGTGTGTGGTGGGTGTATGACAGGTGTGTGGTGGGTGTATGACAGGTGTGTGGTGGGTGTATGACAGGTGTGTGGTGGGTGTATGACAGGTGTGTGGTGGGTGTATGACAGGTGTGTGGTGGGTGTATGGCAGGTGTGTGGTCGGTGTATGACAGGTGTGTGGTCGGTGTATGACAGGTGTGTGGTGGGTGTATGACAGGTGTATGACAGGTGTGTGGTAGGTGTATGACCGTTGTATGACAGGTGTGTGGTCGGTGTATGACAGGTGTGTAGTGGGTGAATGGCAGGTGTGTGGTGGGTGTATGACTGTTGTATGACAGGTGTGTAGTGGGTGAATGGCCGGTGTGTGGTGGGTGTATGACAGGTGTGTGGCGGGTGTATGACAGGTGTGTGTTGTTGATGTATGACAGATGTATGACAGGTGTGTACAGAGGTGTATGACCGTTGTATAGCAGGTGTGTGGTGGGTGTATGACACATGTGTGACAGGTATATTGCCGGGATGAGGGGCGGATGGGCGGGGGGGGGGGGGTTCAGTTCTTCTAACGCTCCAGCAAAGTTCATGAATTCTTGTGACACCTGTTGAGGTGAACCCGAGGAGCACCTCCACCTTCACCTTCACACAACACTCCACACCGGAACGTGGCGCTGCGGGGTTCGATACGGGCGTTGCGCCCCCCTGGAGGACTACTGCTTCCGATTAGATGATTGATTGATAACGATTAAGCCACCCAAGCAGTGGCACGGGCATGAATAGCCCGTAATTCCGATTTAACTTCCGGATGTGTATATATATATTTGTCTAAAACATCTCTTCCCCTCCTTTTCCTCGCCCCCAATCATTCATTCCCCGCCCGCTGTGGCTGTCCTTCCTATCCCCTTTGGGCTGGACGGTAGAGCGCCAATCTCGCCTCATGCAGGTCGGCGTTCAATCCCCGACCGTCCAAGTGGTTGGACACCCCCCTCGTCCCATACCAAGTCCTTATCCTGATCCCTTCCCAGTGCCACATAGTCGTAATGTCCTGGCGCTTTTCCGCTGATAATTCCCTTCCCTTTTCCCTCGTGGCCTCCTCCCCCCCTTTCCCACTTCCTCCTTTTAATAATCAGTTTTATCGCATCCCTCACGATTTTACTTTTCATTTTCCCATCTCCAATTTCATCATTTTCTGTCAGTTTCTCCAGTTGCTTCATCCTACTTTAATATAATTGTTCCTTCTCCCCCTCCCCCTCTCCCTCCTCCTCCTCCTCCCAATCTTCCATTAGTCTCAATCCAGTTTTTTTTTAGCTGCGAGGTTTTCCATTCCCTTGTTCACTTCATTCACAACTGTCCTTTTTACCTTTCTTTTTTTTCATTCTTCTCCTCTTTCCAATTTCCAAGCATCTGTTAAGAAGTTATATTAATAATTACTCCTCTTCTTTTTCCCTCTTACTCCTTTTCTCTCCTGTTTCTCAGTCTGTGTCTCTCATGCACCTTTCCCTTTCCACTCTCTCGTCCAACTCACCCCCTCCTCCATTTCCTGACCTTTCCTCCACCGAGCGCTATCAACCACATCTCTCTGCCTCACCCACTTACAAGTCTTCATCTTGCTCCCATTCCCAGTCTTTACACGCAAACCTATTTTAGACATACTTCCCCTTCTCTCTCTCTCTCTCTCTCTCTCTCTCTCTCTCTCTCTCTCTCTCTCTCTCTCTCTCTCTCTCTCTCTCTCTCTCTCTCTCTCTCTCCCTCTCTCTCTCTCTCTCACGTGTGTGTATACACAGCCACGCTAGCTCACATGCATATCCTGTCAGCTTCCTCCTTAAGATATCCTTATCTGAGACGCCCCTCCTCCTTTGCCTGATGTCGATAACGAGGTCATTACAGATATTCACGAGATCCAATCAGCAGTCAACATTATACCTATCGTACACACTCCGACGACGTGGGGATATAATCGGAAGATAATGTGAGGAGTTGGGGGAGAGAGAGAGAGAGAGAGAGAGAGAGAGAGAGAGAGAGAGAGAGAGAGAGAGAGAGAGAGAGAGAGAGAGAGAGAGAGAGAGAGAGAGAGAGAGAGAGAGAGAGAGAGAGAGAGACAGAGTTGGGATACTATCTGATATTAGATAAAAGGGTGTTTAGAGAAAGTGAGAAGATAACATGAGAGAAGGTGAGGATAAATTTCTTTAAACAATGTTAGAAAAGAGCGTTTAAACCAAAATAAAAAGGAGAAACGCTTGAGTAACCTGGATGGAAAGAATAGGAATGAATAGGGATGAATAGGAAGATAGAGTATGAAAGAGTATAGATAGAAATGAGAAGCGACGAGTGAATGAAACAGCAGTGAATGAAAGAATGAAGAAAACAG